CGGCCGCCGCCGGCACCCCGCGCAGCGCGGCCCAGCCGCGCACCGCCGCAGGGGCCTGGCGCTTGCCTGAGCGCCTGACGAATCATTAACTAAGGTGCCCCATCGCTGTGTGAGGTCGGGAATTTATGGTTATGCCCTTGGAGAAACCAGGAATGAACAAGGCCGGGGGACGGACATTACCTTTGTGCCAGACAGGCAGCTCGTGGGGAGGCTTGGGTTCCCAGCTGGGTCGAGGACTCGCGCTCAGCCGAAGCTCCAACAAGAGCGGAAAGTGGAAAGGTTTTTCTCGTGCCTTGGGCTCTTCCACAGCAGCCTGCGCCGCTGAGGCGGCCAGCTCCTGCCCTGCTCTGTGTGCACAAAATCCTATGTGGCAATTCCATGGCCATCCTTACCAGCGTTCATCCTGTTGCAAAATAAAAATACCCCTTCCCTGTACGAAGAACAGTTCGACGGCAGCAGAGTGGGTAAAACCCTGTAAGTCAGTCAATTTTATAGAAAGTCAAATAATGAAAGCCCAGCCCCTGGTAGAAACAGCTGTATTTAGAAACCTGACTGTACTTGGCGTACGCAGGGGCAGTACCTGAGATGTCAGACTGGTGAAAATACAGAACGTTTTAGGACGTGTGCTTTGCTCTTTTCCTGAACCCACCGAAGAAATCCTCACACACAAGCCAAAATTTCAATTCTGGAGGAAGATTTTTCTGACATAGAAGCAATACTCACAGTTTTCATTTTGGCTGAGTCACAGCTGATTTTGCAGGACGTTTATTTTCAATGAAATGAAGGATTTCTTGTCCTCTGAACAGCTCATTCTCTGTTATGCTGACAGCAGAAGTGCAAGTCCGAGTTGATTAACAGTTCTTATATACGGAGACTGGCAAACATTCTGGAATTTTACAGTCTCAGATGATTGACTGGATTTGCTTGTTGTTTGCAAACAGCTATCTTTTTACACAATTGGACAGACCAGACCACTGTTTTTTGCCTAGTTGATTTACTGGCATAAATGTGGCATGTTAAACCTCACTGTCTTCAAAAGAATAGAAGGAAGGACAACTGGTGTAGGTGCTCTAGGTAGAAAACTGAGGTCGGGAAGAGATAAAAACCTTCAAGTGGCAATCATATGCTGATGTCAGTCAGCATTTTAAAAGTTCAGCCACAAAAAGAAAACATGTTTTTACTTTTCACCCAGTCTTTGCAACTTGTTACATCGCTGCAACCTGACATACATGGTACGTTTTTGAGTCTTAGGCTTAGTCATGTAATTGTTTTAAAATGGCAGGCAAATAAAAAACACAATTAGAAGGAATATTAGCAAACAAATTAAATACTTCTGTGTTTGAAAATAACTTTGCTGGGATTCTAATGAGTCATGACAGCAAAAATGCCACTTGTAGGAAAGATCAATAAAAAATGTACCGCTATTATAATTTCACTTGAATGTAGTAATTTAAGAAACAAATTGACTTAAATTTTTTTTTTTTCTACTTCTCATAGTCTGTCCTGATGCTTGCTGCTTTCAGTGCTTTCTGTGGGAATAGCATTGTATGAGAAAAATACAGTCATTGGAAAATGGAGGCACAGAAAGACCTATGTGATTGTTCCAGTGTAACACTGGAAACGTTGTGCAGGTGAGAATGTGAAACTTAAAAGTTTCTCCTGACTTACTGTCTCTCCTTGCAAACAACCGTAAGGGTAAAAAGGATTGCCTGAGCTTGGCTAAAGATATCTGAGAGCATTTGACCTAGACTCTGTTCAAATGCAACCTTTTTTAACTCTTTCTTTGAACAAGTACAAACCCAGTAATCTGTGGACAATTAATAGTATTGATATTAAAAGGCTAGCAGATTTCTGCTAAGTCCTGACACCAAAATACTTGCTGAGCTGTGTGACTTGGCTTCCTTTTTATCTTAAATACACCTAAGCTGCCTAGTCTGTTTTTTGATACTTGCTGTGTTTCTGCAGCACAGTGGTCCTTGTTCCAAGACATACATTTCCCTAAAACTAAATTTCTGGGCATTCTTCAATCCTCAACTCAGTAGTTTTGTTTTCTCTTTTAATTTAATCTTTCTTAGCCCTAATCAGGTCCAGGTGTTTATCAAGTAAAATTAAAAATATATACTGAGAAATACCCCAATGCATTCAAGCTATTCAGTATGCACCCCACTTCCAGAAAATCAAGCTCTCCAGTTCTCAAAAGCTTGTGCGCTATTTAGAACCACTGCACTTGATTAATGTGACAAGATTATGCCTTTAATTAGAGTAAACTTTCACAGTTATTACTGACAAAGTGAAGGTTTAAAAAATCCAAACTATCTGTGATTATCTCTGAAAACTGTAGAGGGGTTTTGTTGGATTTTTTTTATTTCACCCTTCCACCCATACCCCCTTGCTTTTATCAAGATACTTTCAGTGTGGTTTTGTATGTATAATGGCTTCTCCATAAAAAGCTTCACTATAATTTCTTAAAGATGGTTCCACTAAGAGAACTAATATCATACCTTTACACCATCTTCTGTCATAGCCACAGTAGCAGAGAAAAGAATTATCTCTATTGAAGTACTAGATTGAAGCCACAGAAGTACCTAGTTTTTCCAGTGCAAGGCTAAGTCTTGTCACCCAATACAATGTTTTCTCTACAAGCACCCCAAAACAAATTGCATCAAATGTAATGATACAGAGGATGACCTTAAGGAAAAACAAAAAAGTGATTTGTCCAGTAGAAAAGGCATGCCCCAAGATATAAGCCTGAATTTGTAATTTATGTGTATTTATTATCTCAATGTACTTAGACTATGTTGAGCACATATTACTGTCCTGATACAACGAGCTGTGCATTCTTGCTCTTTCCTGAGCATTTCAAAAGCCCACTTTTAACTTTGAAAACTGGCCCATCTGTTTGGGCAGTACTTCATGAGAGCCAAATTTATCCAATGAGCACAAGTAGAGAGATCACTAGCTTACTTCTTGGCAGTAGTGCATAACTCTCTGAAAATTATCTGTGGTTGAATGTTTTGTGAGGAGTCTTGCTATTATTATAGCTCACATTGAATGTTAAGTTTAGAATTACTGTTAAAATGTGTATCTTTTATTGCAGATAAGGGAAAGGTTCCAAGGGATTAAATCAGTACCGCCAGTCTCAGTCATTTCCAGAAGCTGCTTTTCAACTTAATCTGAAACTGCCTCTGTGTGCACAGAGCACAGCACAGTAACACTCTGGTGTTTCCCCTGACTTATTTTTCCTTTTCTGCACTTACTATCAAGAAGCAGATTTGCACTGTCTTTTCTGTTATTGTTTGGGTTGGGCTTGGGATTTTTTTACCTGTTGAAAAGCATGAATACTTTAGTGTACTTTGGTAAGAAACTTGAGTAGAGGGATGGATTTTATTGCTAGCTTTGACAACAGTGTTTGCTATTTCAATAGCAAGTTGTGTGATTCCCTGTGACGGCTTTGTCCTCAGCCCAGAACATCCCCCTGCTGGAAGTTTGCCTTGAACTGTAACAGAAGAACAGAATTAAATTCTGTGCGGGATTTTGAGAATGATACCCTTCAAATCGATCAAGTCAAATCAAGAACTTACGATTTCTGAAAGGTCACTGTAGCTAAAAACAAATAAATAGGTTCAGCATAGCGTTGACTGGATGGCATATAGTGCCTGTGAGATGCAGGTCAGACAACGTGACATACTGGCTTCTGCTCCTTCACGCTAAGGCTGCATGAAATCAATCAATCAGCAGTGTCTATAATAAACTGTGTATTAGGTGATGCGATCTGCACTGGCCAACCTTGAGCTTCTATAAGGCATAAAGTTCCTTCCTAGAGAGAACTGTAATAGTCCAGGGTGAATATTACATATGTATGGAATACAGTGGCGAGGTCTTCATCTAATGGGTCTAAATCTACCGGACTAGATGTCATCTTCTGGGTTGTTATGGCTGAATGAACCGCATGGTATACTTATGCAGTTATTTGTGGAAGTGAATTGACGAGTCTCAGGGAACTGATTTAGCAGTGGCAAATATTTATAATGATAGTATTGTAATGGAAGAAACATTTTTCTTTTAATACATTTCTCTGTTCTTATTAATCCCTTATAAATATTTGTGATAATTAATGCTTTATTAGTTCCTCTGAAATAACTGCTGTGAAGAGTGGACAACTTTAAACATCACATCAGTGATAAAATATTTAGAAAAATTAAAGAGGCAATGTTTCACAACAGCAGACTACTGCTACTACTTTTTACAGCCCTTTTTCTGGAACTCCACCTTACACAAAGAACAAATTTCTGACCTTATATACTTTCACAGTACTGCACACAAACATGTAATTATTATGGCGGGAAGGGTGCAGGTGACTATGCTATCTGGTACTCCTTGTGTTTATCCAGCAAACAGAAGTCCGGTTTCCATAATCTGAGTTGTTGGGAAAACAGATTCAAGATCCTTTAACACTAGTCATTTTGTAGAGTGGGAAACAAAATACAAGCATTTAAAAAAAAAACAAACCACAAGAAATGTAGAGCTAAAATGTCTTCTCACAAACAGCCACACCACTTATAAGTCTCAGCCATTTCTGAGCTGCTGCCAAGGACACTGAAGCAACAGTACCAGACAAAGCACAGTAAGAATCTCCACGTATATGCAAAGAGGAAGGGAGATGTAGAGTTATTTTGGGCAAAAAGAAACAACATACCTGGTCAGACTCAAGGCAGGCAGCATTCCACTTTTGTTATCAGAGTACAAGGCTGATACATGAAATTTAAAGACAAAATGAATTCTGTATTTTGAAAAATTGATGTATAGAGATTTGTTTGCCTAAATGCAGGCATCTAATATCAATTTAGATACCTAGATACCTCCCTAAGATGGCATGGGTTTCCCGTTGATCTGATGTCACATGTGACAGCCCGGTGTGGATGTTTCAGATATCCTTGGACATTAAATATGGCACTAGACACTTGTATTTAGGTGCCTGAATTTCACTCATGTTGTCTCTTTTCTGCTTCTGTAACGTGCAGCTCACAATAGACTATCCATGACTTCAGGAAACAAAATTAAAGTCCAGTAACTTCAGGCCTATTGCATTGTGAAATTGGGTTTTGGAAGGTTTCATTAGATCGAAGGAGATTTTTCTCTAATTCTGGGAATAGTAAGAAATTAAAATGTAATTCTATGCATATCTGCATACATGTGAGAAGAGGAAGAATTTTTCTCTTCCAAAATCACTAGAAGAACGTAGCCCAGATTTGCACCCCCAAATTTGCACCAGCCCTGACTGAGCAAAGCAATTGCCAAATCAGTCTACCTGTGCATGTGCAATTTGGAATGCCTTGAAAATGGGCTCTGCAATCTGAACCTTAATGACAGAGTAATTACGTTCCTC